TTGCTGTTATCGGTCGGAGAATATTTCCATCGATCGATTTCCCAAAGTATTCGGGAAAATATTGCACCGTTTATTTTTAGTAGTTTCCGCTCGATGCGCTTCATATTACATCGGCGACTCGTTCTGAATTAGAGCGTCCGTCGAAGATTACAGTGAAACTGTCGATATTGTCAGCGATAGGCGATAGATTGACAGTAAATCGGCCGCGTGTTAGAACACCGCCGTGCCGGAGAGAATATTTGTTCGATAATATTTGAAATGATATTGCGGCTGCTCTCTAAACACGCGTAAATGTCCCGACCCGAGAATTATCGTGCCCGAGCTTTCGTATTTGTCATAGCAGAAATGTCGACTATGTATCCGCAAATTTAATAGCATTAAAGGATTTAAATAAGAAGATTTGCGAGCACCGTTTAGTGGTTAAATTTAAATGACCTCTATTCCTTTTCAGCGAGCAGAATTTAGAATCGCTGCATTTTCTTTGGCTGGAAGATTTAACATAATGCTATTGTAATGTACACTATTATCTATGTAGAGTGGGAAGTGCATGTGTTGTAAGTTTAAATGTGGTTTGGTCTCAATACTCTGCTGATGTTAATATAGATTTGCGTGAAATGATTTTCGCGATGCTTACCTTTGTGGTTAAATTACTGTTTCGTGAAGCTGGAAACAGCAATTATATTCGAGAGTAGTTTATTTTATGATATATTTAATTTGCTATTATACACTTTATGCAATGCATTATAGAACCACGCATATATTTCATGATTTTAGAGTAATGAACTATTACTATCGTGCAGGCAATCGATTTTTATTTTATTTCAACATTTTACATAAACATTAACAAATTAATAATAGATAGACTTTTAACAACTTTGATAGGTTGAAAATAGTGCAATAGTATTATTAAATTATATTATATTATATTATATTATATTATATTATATTATAAATTCACAATCTTGTATGTCAGCTACTCACTTCTGTCATAAACCCATAAAATCCGCAGTATAGTAATATTAGGTATACACCTGTCTCTTATACACATCTAGATGTGTATAAGAGACAGGTGTATACCTAATATTACTATACTGCGGATTTTATGGGTTTATGACAGAAGTGAGTAGCTGACATACAAGATTGTGAATTTATAATATAATATAATATAATATAATATAATATCTGTCTCTTATACACATCTAGATGTGTATAAGAGACAGGTGTATACCTAATATTACTATACTGCGGATTTTATGGGTTTATGACAGAAGTGAGTAGCTGACATACAAGATTGTGAATTTATAATATAATATAATATAATATAATATAATATCTGTCTCTTATACACATCTAGATGTGTATAAGAGACAGGTGTATACCTAATATTACTATACTGCGGATTTTATGGGTTTATGACAGAAGTGAGTAGCTGACATACAAGATTGTGAATTTATAATATAATATAATATAATATAATATAATATCTGTCTCTTATACACATCTAGATGTGTATAAGAGACAGGTGTATACCTAATATTACTATACTGCGGATTTTATGGGTTTATGACAGAAGTGAGTAGCTGACATACAAGATTGTGAATTTATAATATAATATAATATAATATAATATAATATCTGTCTCTTATACACATCTAGATGTGTATAAGAGACAGGTGTATACCTAATATTACTATACTGCGGATTTTATGGGTTTATGACAGAAGTGAGTAGCTGACATACAAGATTGTGAATTTATAATATAATATAATATAATATAATATAATATCTGTCTCTTATACACATCTAGATGTGTATAAGAGACAGGTGTATACCTAATATTACTATACTGCGGATTTTATGGGTTTATGACAGAAGTGAGTAGCTGACATACAAGATTGTGAATTTATAATATAATATAATATAATATAATATAATATCTGTCTCTTATACACATCTAGATGTGTATAAGAGACAGGTGTATACCTAATATTACTATACTGCGGATTTTATGGGTTTATGACAGAAGTGAGTAGCTGACATACAAGATTGTGAATTTATAATATAATATAATATAATATAATATAATATCTGTCTCTTATACACATCTAGATGTGTATAAGAGACAGATATTATATTATATTATATTATATTATATTATAAATTCACAATCTTGTATGTCAGCTACTCACTTCTGTCATAAACCCATAAAATCCGCAGTATAGTAATATTAGGTATACACATGAAAAATCCAAATTTTTGGCGACATTCCAGAATTATTTAAATAAAAAAGTGAAACAAATTTTTTATTCACATTAATCACCGTTACTTTCTCCAACTTTAGACCATTCTTTAGGCTAGTGGTGAATTCCATTTCGAAAAAATTTCATCTCTTCAAGATAAAGAAATCGTCCAGTCATTTCTGTATTCCATCCACAATAGGATCTTTTTCGTAGTAGAAACAACGCATTTGACAGTTGTCATGTAGCAATTTCACAAGACGACAGTCTCCTTTACCAGTACACGGATGTTTTCGTTCCAATTCTTGGTTTAAATTCGAAATGGTTTGTTGCGTTACGCCCAACTGCTCTTCAGATAGTTTTTGCGTTTCTGATGTATGCTCACCCAGTAGTCTCTCCAAATCATTGTCGCGTCGCGCTTCTGTAGGTCTCCGGAACCTTGTTTGTCGATCAGACTAAAATCGCTACTTTTAATCGAAACTGCACACACATCGTAGGAAATAAGACCTTTACCGAGAAACCGACAAATCGATTCACATGCCTTGTTAGCATTTTTTCTTGCCTGAAATATTACAACGTCGGATATGCACTTTATCTATGCGATTATTCAGTCCAATGAACCGATTATTTCTTGAAGTTATATGCAGCCTTCCGCTAAATCAAATTCAGTTTCCAATAGTCAACGTATTATTGTATTATTGTTAATTTTTGAACCGCCTAAGAAAGATTAGATTATTCATTTGAATACCTAATAAATTATATAGCAAATTGTTGCATAACTTTATCTTATGAATTCCATGGCATTGATGTAATTTAATCCCTTGCATTATAACACTTCCTGACAAAGATTTCATACATGATCGATTAAATATGAGTGTCATTCATACCGTCTAAATCGAAACAAAACTAAATTCTTCTGTTATCAAAATCTAAAAACGAATGTAAAAATGAAGATGTACAAAAAACGAAAATTGTCTCGTTCGATTAAGAAAACGATTAAAAACGAGGAAGTACTGATCAATATAGCTGTGAAAGAAATCGTAGTTAACTTTACTATGTCCTATATTAACAATTTGAAACTCATAAATTCATGAAGGAACTATTTAAATTATGTATCGCTGTTAATGGGAAAATTTCTATTTTCATAAACATCTACAGGTACAAACCTCAGAAACAATTGAAGTAAAAATGATGTAGTTTGATTTTAGTGTAATGTGGTAAAACAGTAAAAGTAGTTTAACTTTCGTGTATAAGAATTTTCTGTTTCAACGGTATGAAGATATAACAAGCGGGCTACAATAAAATGTCTCATATATCTGTAGAGAATGGCGAAGATGGTGAACAAAAGCTTAAGAAAGAAGAAACACGTCAAGTTTGCACGTTCAGAGCACGTACTCTTGCTTTCTATTTATCTATCGGCAGACCTTCGCGGTCGGGAAGAATTCGTTTATCGCCACATCCGCAAAATTTATATCAACTTGAAGGGCATCCCCGTTTCTTCTTCTATCTCTTCGGTACAAAAACCAGGAATATTCTCACCTGAATTTCATTCTGGGAACCTCAAGTTAACCTTTCACATGACTCGTCATTTCACGATTCAATGTTTCTAATAGGGCAATGCGTGAACAATCATTTTTATTGAACTACTACTCTTTAGGATTTAATTTATAAAACGTGTGAAATATATGATTCCATAAAGTGCAAGATTTATCGTCTCCACTCTGCAATAAATTAATTCCTTCTCTTGCTGTTCGAGCATAAACAATTTTCCTATATTGCATTCAATATTTTCATAAATAATTTCATACAACTTTATTAGTTTACTAATGAAGTAATAAGAATTGATATACTTCACATATAATATAAATGTTATGGTGAAACAATTAATATTTTCATTTTCTTATTCAGAATATGAATCAAATAATTTTATGCAAAATAAATGCATGCATTGTATGTGCAGTTAAGTAATTATACTTTATACATACATTGAATTTATGTTCGAAGTCTTCCATTTGTATTTATAAAATCGTCGAGTACACTTTTCTCCTTTCTTTTAGTAATGCAGCAACTTTTCATTGAGATCAATATCAAGCCATCTTCTCGATCATTTTCGAGCCATTTTAACATTCTCAAATATTGTAGAATCTCAATATCAATAAAATATTGTATACAACTTGACAAACTAGTTAAAGAAGTTAACAGAAATTTAAGTATTCTATACTTGAATTGACGGCAAATGATACTAAGGTCTCAGAAATGATTTAGTTCTATGCCATTTGCTTTCTGAGTTATTTGACTTATTCACTGGTTGCTAATTGCTTAATAACAATTAGCGACCATATGTTGTTGAATTACAATCTATGGGGTTACAATAGTTGATACATTAGATTATCTACAACATCTTAACACTTTATCTGCAATATTATCGTCGTAAATTAGGTTCCTTAAATTACTATATAATTTAACTATACTACATAAACTTTACTTACTACTACATAAGCTTTTGCTGTATATTTGTAGTTGCTTAAATATTCATTGATGATATTGGGCTTCTTGATATTGACAACTTATTATCCAGAGAGTATCCAGAGTTCAAATCAATTAGAAAACGTCGAATCTATTCCTGCACTTAACATGTTAGAAAACGCACAGAGAATCCTAATTTTATAGTACAGTAAACAATTGCCAACATTCAATTTGAATGAAATGTACCAACAATGGAACCAGAAACGGATTTCCTTCTAATCCACCCTCTTCTTCCAGATAAAACCGAAGGAAGCAAACATTGTTCGGTCGGATGAAGCCGTCGAAATCCTCGATTCGACGCTCTTTAAACACGGCCGGCCGATAAAACGGACACCCGTGTGCAAACAATGATCATAAAAGGCATCCTTAAGCCGCCGAAAGAAGCAAGTCCAGCAGATCTGACGAACGGTCCGCAATCAGGATGGTGATCGCGAGCGGATCCCCCGGCGAGGCCATGTCCAACACGACCGGCAAGCTGAGAAGATCTCGACGATTGTCGTCGACCAGGGGTTTGAAGGCGCGGCCTTCGGCAAACACGGCTGGGCAAGCGATTCCCCGGCAAGATCTCAATCAGAAGCTCGGCCTGTGTCCCATAGTGAGCAGGAACGTGGCCGATACAAAGGGTCGGCCTGCGATCAATTGGGAATTGAACGAAAGAATCAGCCTGAGCAGCGGCTCGAGCCCGGGGCTGGCGGTGCGTCCGGACGCGAGGAAGGGTATCGAGTTCAGCGAGAATCGCAAGAAGCTCGAGATCGATGCGAAACAGCCGATCGAGGACACCGCGAGCGATCGTCGCGAGACGAGAAATGTCCGCGACAGTCTCGAGCTGATGAACGTGTCGGGTTTCCATCAGGACTGCGACAAGAAGCGTCGCGGCTCTTGGTCGATCGACGTGGACGTGGTCGCCAAAGCTGACGAGGGTAACGTGATTAAAAGCGACTCAAAGTACGAGATCGGAGTACCCAGCGAGGGTTCGTCGGCGTCGAGGAAGTCGAAGCAGCGGCGATCCTCGGGATCAACGAAAACACCGAAGTCGACGAAGAACGAGGACGACGACCACACGGTGAATGGCAAATGGGGCAGGAAGAAGATGGACAAGACGAACGACTCGATCTCGAAGAGGCTGGAGCTGATCCACGAATTGAATCAGAAGATCCTAGCGAACTACGAGAGGTTCCAGCAGAAGTCGAAGCGGACTCACTCGAAGGAGACCTCGGAGGCGAAAGAGAGGAAGGAGGACCGTCTCTACGCGGAGGTGAAGCGCAAGAACCGGCCTAGGACAGAGTGCGTAGACGTCGGCCAGGAGACCCTCATGCAGAGGAGATTAGATATCAATAAGTTCACGTTCTCCAAGGATCACTGCGAGAAGCTGTCCGGCAAAGATCGACCGGACTCGGCGGACAAGAAGCGATCGAAGACGCTGTCGAGGTCCAGAGTCCCTAGCGATAATGAGAACTTCATCATGACGGCGAAGCCCGGCTTCCACGGCCCCGAGGACGATAAAGCTCGACGACCGGCTACGAGGGCTGAATACAGCACGCGATCGAAGGACGAGAGCAAAGGATCGAAGCAGACCGGGTCCGTTTTTTACGCGCACGATTTCTCGGCCGGGCACGTAGACCGGCCGATCAACGACGACGCCGATTGTCTGGGGAGCTCGAGATTGTACCCGGAGAGTTACACCGAACGCCCTAACGAAGTGAAAATCGATGACGCGAACGAGCACGATCGCGGAACGATTCTAAAGGATTATCCTTTCGAAAGAGAAACACAAGATGGTATCGATCAGCCCCAGGACATTGTCGGTGGATCGGTGGTGGAGGCGATCGATCAAGAAGCGTTGCAGCACGAGATTCTGGAGAATCTGGACGAGACCATTGGCAGATTCGATAACGAAAAACCGGACGCGAAAGGGGTTAGAACCGAAGAGCTGCCCGACGACAAGAAGATCGACAGTTTCAGCAGCGATTCCATCGAAATCGATAGCCCTTTGTCGAATTCGGGATGTTCGAAGGTAGCCAGGATCCAGGAGACCTTTAATTCCTCGTGGGATTCAGGTGTCGGTGTGGATGTCGGCACCGGGAGCGGCTGGGTCAGAATCCACACGGGAATTGAAAGCAGCCTCGTCTATCTTACTCTGGATACCACCGCCAAAGACGTCTGCAGGGACATGCTGTTAGGCGACGACTTGTCTCTGTTTATTCAGGTAAGCGGACTCGAACTTCCACCGGCGAATTAGCCGTTTCATTTGCGGCGCAAAGGTTGCGTGCCTTCCCGGGTTCGACGGTCGGCTACGCTGACGAGGAATGCTCCCGAAACGGGATAAGGAATGTTGTTTATGATGTATTAAGCTCTCGGTATCTCGAGAGTCGAGCCGGATTCGTGAAGAATTTAAGACCGCTGCTGCGAGGAGTTTTCTTCCTTGCGAGGAACGAGCAGTGCGCGATCGTGCTTCTTTGTCGGAAAGCTTGTTCAAGAGAAAACGCCATGGAGCTTATCTTGCTTTAGATATTTTATTTAACGTTTGAACTGCCACGATAGAACCTTAAGAACTTTACGGGGTCAAAGTATCTTATTTGATCGAATTAGGATTGACGAGTTTAATTGTACTACTGCAATCACTTTGTCACATTCTTACATTTTGCGGAAGCTATCGAAATTGAAAAGATGTAGTTGATTGACATGAAAATTAATTTTCAGATCTGAGAAAATAATTTAAATAAATAACGCCTCTTTTAGCGACGACAAATATTTAATGGACATTAAATAATTATATTTAATAAACATTATTAAATTTATAATAACATAAATAACAAACATAATTAAATAATTATATTTCATAAACATTAAACAATTATAAACCATTTTAACTAATTTTTATATGGCTCGTTAAACGCAGATGGTAATATATTAAAACGATAATTCACATTCAATTATCTTCTTCATCCATGTTTTTCTATAGATTCGCCCGAATCTCTTACGTCTTATGCCACATAATTTTTACACATTATTTGTTCTAATTTATTGATTTACATTCAAACCGTGCGTAGAATAAAACGATTTTCTCACACATTTATTGCGTGTGGACACTAGGATCTAGTCGTGTAAGTCATTAAAACAATTTAATTAAACAGATTCGATGGATCAACTGTATTAATCTGGACATTTCTCTATGTACTACATCGTTTAGCAATAAATAGAACGAACCACTTAAGGTCGCATTAACGTCAGGGTCACTAGCAAGCACATTTGAATTGCATAATATTTACTGAAAAAGATTCAATTAATCATTAATTTTCTTTTACACAAAAACTGAATTTCAAGAAACGAAACAGAAGATCTATGATTAATAACTCCAAATGTTTGTCACAAAAGTTTTTAAATTAAGAAGTGACTATCAATTTCAATAAAAGCTTAGAAGTAATTAATCAGAACACTATATCAGAAATGCAACTACGATTGATCCTTTCAATGTGTAGCCTCTATGTGATACGAGGTGGTATTTGTGAAAAATTTTATCTACCGTGATCTTTTTATGATATATAATATGAACATGATGTAAGTACAAATAATATGATCTGGATAATGTATTTATATAACAATAATATATCATGAAATCATAAAAATAATATAAAATACTGAGAAGGGTGTATTACGGTTTCTGTTTATTTGAAATTGTCAGAATTATTAATAAACTGCGGATCTTTGTGAAAAAAATTTCCTACACGCATATTAAGAAACAGGTGTTAAATAAAAATATATATCTTCTTTTAATGATTTTAAAAAGTCATAAATAATGTAACAACTTTTTTAAATTCTATCGATATTTTAACTATTTTTTATTACACTTATTCATTTTTTCATAAATGTATAAAATCCGTAGTCTAATCATGAAATATAATTAATGATGATGATTTGTTATTGCTGGAATATTTTCTACCGTGCCTCGAATAAGGCTAACCCTGGCACGTGACCAGCAATCCCATCTACATTCGAATGGAAGAGGGCCTAAAGTAAATCTTCCAATTATAATCGTGATACGCGATGCCTACAGGCGTCCCAATATCTAGTTGGTTCAATATTATACCAAAGCGTATTCTACAAACAGAGAAACCCACTTCTCTCTCGTGCAGGTATTTTGGAATATATAAACATTATACCGCGCCGTGTTTACAAATGGCTTTGCCTCCGTGAGATTAAATTACAATTTCAATGCATCTCGCAAGAATATGTCCGCGACGTAATCTATTGCATTTGTTCCACGTTCTGCAGCACAGTAAATGCTGACTTGTAATTTTCGTAAAACAATTTTTATGTGATATTTAGTAAACTGGTCGCTCTAACATTCTAAAAAGAAGTTCAAGTCGTTTAATGGATTCTATATAAAGGGTGTTCGAATACTTCCGTGATTCTCTGTAGGTTTGCGCAATGCTCACGTTACCGCTTTCACCAGACAGAATCAAAATATCTTCCTAACGTTTCAATCCATTGCCCTCTGCCCTGACGGTGCTGAACGTACGTATTATTGCTGTTTTTAGTTCCTCGACGTTGTCTTTCAACTTCGTTCGCCATTCGAGACCCGGGTCTCTAGATGGCGATTTCCACCTGGCTGAAAATGTCAATTACCGGGACACGTCTCACAGTTTAATGGGGGCATTGTCTTCTTTTAGCAGAACAGATAATATGTCGAAGGGCAAGCCGAAGTTTCCGAAGCTTTTAACTTTGTGTTTTTCAGATATTCAGCATTATTCTTAGACGTCAACGAATTTTCTCCTTTTTCGACGCTGGATCCTTTTGGAACAAATTATTTCTCTTCTATTTCCAGTTAACAATAAAATCTGTTTCGTTTAGAATGAGACATTTAGGTTCGAATGGCAACTCTAAGGGGCCACGAAAAATTAGTATACTATAATTCGAAATGATTTCTAAATATTTTTTGTTCGTGATCGCTAAGATCAGATTTTAGAAAAAGGTTTGAATGTTTGAAATGTTTGAAATGTTTGAAATATTTGAAATTTTTGAAAAATAGGTTGAATGAAATTTTAAGGTTATCGACTCTAGATATGCTTATAACGTATTGCCATTATTGGGAAAATTATGGTACATCATTTTCAATGTGCAGAAATAATTTTTTTTCTAAATATCTCCCTCTTCTAAAAAATCATTAATTAATCATTTAATTTTTCAATATTTACAAAAATTTTTTGGCAGTATGTATATTCTTTCCCGTTTTTTTTTGGCAACTAAGTAATTGCCGATTTCAGTTATAGATGTCTCTCACTCCCATTTTTATGATATCCGTAAATGTTATATTATAAAATTATTATTATTATTATTATTATGTTATTTTTAATTATCCGTGAATATTAGCAACTGGACAAATTGAATACAGCGGTCAAGGAAAAGCGACCAGAATTGGTCAATCGTAAAGGTGTCATTTCCCACCAGGACAGTGCTAGGCCGCACACGTCTTTGTCCACTCGGCAAAAATTGATGGATATTGGTAGGGAATTGATGTTACGCCCACCATATAGCCCTGATCTCGCGCCATCGGATTACCACTTATTTATGATGACGCTGTAAAATCTCACTTAACTCAGTTTTTGGCCGAAAAGGATCAGACTTTCTACGAGCGTGGAATTTTCAAGTTGTCAGAGAGATGGCAAAAGGTCAGCGAACAAAATGGGAAATACATTACAGATTAAACTTTATTCCAAGTAAAAAAAAATTTTTTATTTCATTGAACAAATCGGCAATTACTTAGTTGCCAACCCAATATAAACATTTGCATGGAAATTGTCTCACTTGTTTGAAACTCAATGGGTGAATAATCCAGTTTTAGTGAACATCGCAACATTACGATAATTTCAATCAGATTTCGATACAATTTCATGGAAAGAGTGTGAATTTCACTATTATACATATTGGCGCAATATAACGGGTAACATGTTCATATTTAGTTCAGCAACCAGAAATTTCAATTGGTCAGATGATCAATTAAAAAGATGTTAGATATATACCGAATCGCTCTAACAACATCAACGGGGATGGAACCGGAATTCGATCCGCCACTCCGTATTCTGAATTTTTTAATTGTCAGCTGACCAATTAAAATCTCTGGTTGGCAACCGTTGATCCGGATCGTGAATATCGTACATTTGAAAAGTGAACCACCGCACGATACACGTCAGTACCAACGTGTCAGTCGGTCTTCTGATGATTGCAATGCTGCCGGAGAGTTCAAATTACGAGTTTCTCTCGAAAACTGTAACAATGAAAACTACATTTTTATTGCAGATACCTTAAGAAATAAAATTACGTTAAAATAAAAAATAATCGTATTGAAAAATAATGAAGTATCATATTTTGAGTATGAAACAGTTGTAATAATTGCAAATATGAAATTTTGAAATTTATTTTAATTTAATAATGCATAAGGAAAACTTTTATTCAATATAACAAAATATTACAGTATCGCTATATTTAATGTTTGATCTTGAAAATATATATTTTGATGAGCATTTAAAGACATTCTAAACATTTTTATTTTATATTTATTATAAATGTAAAGAATCATAAAATAAATTATTCAATGTCTACATTTGTGCAAATTACTACTTTTTAACAATTAAAATCTACAGCTCACAATCTTTCATATGAATATTAGACGTTATTCTGCAAAATTTTATTTATCCTCGTAATTCGTGTACAATTACAAAATCGCACGATAGATGAATCCAAACTGAAAAAATAAATCTTCATTATTTTTATATACATTTTTCAGAGAGAAATAAATAAGTTTGTCAATTTTTTAACGCAAGCAATAATAATGTGATCAATAACAATAATAAAATCAATAATATCACTATATTGCATTCCAAACTTCGAAATTCAATTCAAATACACTACACTTTTATCAAAATCTTACAGTGCAATATATAGTCACACAGTTAGTTGCCGTAACTTTTTCCTATCAAGAAGATCAAATTCAATTGAAATATTCATCAAACGTTAGACAACAATATCTGACGATATTCTCAATACTTTTACTTATATTTATTTTATATATTATATTTATTTATATATTATATTAATTATTGCTCAGGCGTCGTATGTTTCAAAACGTACGACTAACATAATTTTAAAACCGAACTTTATTAGAGTACATTAAATGTAAGACGGTTATAAAAGCAATTATTATAATAA